AAAATTTTACTCTTTTTTAGATTTGATTAAATTTAATTTCAAAAGCTATAATCATGAATGAATGCGGTTGTTGGTTTTGTGGGGTGAAATTGGAAGACAACCCCATGCCTTGTCTATTAGTATTTTACACTTCATGACTTTTCTTCTTCAATGCCATCTCTCACTCTGGTCCGGTTCAAAGGAAATAAACCAATGGTCAGATTTCCGGTTAACCACAAAACCCGGTTCGGTATGCAAAAAGCTCAAAAATTCTCTTTGGACATAAACCATTCCTTTCCTTGGCCCCTCCACAAAGAAACATGTAAACTCGACCATTAAAATCAACACCATAAACCGGTCCTCGAGTCCCAGAAGCCTTTAACTGTACTGAAAATTAGATGACATATATCGGTTTCTCCAGTTCTATCAGTTTGATCCCGGAAAAGAAACGATCCTACAGAAACCGCCTTCCCCGTCGATATCTAGCAATACAAAAAAGGAAGAAACAATGTTACAATAAGCACATATCAATTTGCTCAGAACAAAGAAAACAGAACCTGGTTAGGTTTTGTATACATATGATATATCAGGCAATTCCACAACATGAAAAAATCAAAGAAAAACAGAGAAAAACATACAACTATGGATGTCGGAAAACACTATATCCTTTCTGAAGATCGAAAGATTCAGAGGAAGAACTGTACGTACCTGGAAATCGGGTTGGATAAACAATGTCGAATGGCGAATAGATGATTCTTAAAGAGTCTTATCTTTTCAAGAACAGTCAAGAAGACGGAGACAGATCGTGGCTTGTTCTTATGAAGACAAGACCCAGTTATGTTCTAGGAGCAAAAGATATCTTATGGTTAGCTCTAAGGATACTTGAGAGAATTTGCCAAGATGTATATCAATGAAAATACGATCACAACCACATGTAAAAAATGCTTCAGAGGTTCCCGATACAGAGTTCAAGATACAGATTTAGAATTTCATGTCGATACTAAGTATCGTAGTAGTCAACAGAAGATCCATGAATTCAACCAGGTTCATTATATACTGAAAACATATGGAAAAACATACGGATTTTTTATTCGAACGCAAGGAACGAGGAGAGAGATAAAACCTGATGCGAACTTGGCAAATGTATGTAGTGTATGAACTTTCTTCAAATTTAGAAAGTTTATGATCAAGATCGCTGAAACACATATAAGCGATGTTTTCACGCAAAGCTTGCCATGTAAATAGATTCATTGTCTTCTGCTACAAGTAAAATATGATGGAACAAAAAACTAAGGACCGCCCAAGAACAGAAATTTCAAATTTGAGTACTGTAAGCAGAAATATGTACAACCAGTACCATGAATTAGGATAGCTTGTGCATATGTATCTGAGAACAAACACTTCTCTTCTGAAACACATACATGACATAGAACATGGTGATAATTACCATTAATTATTATGGTCATAGTTAGTGGTTTATATTTTTAATTCATATTTTCATTGGTTTATAATCAAATGATGTACCAATTGCCATTAACCAATGATCATTAACATGCAAATGTATTGACATTTCATTACTTTAACATTTATTCAATTTTATTTTTTTAGATTTATTAGTTGGATCCACGTTAAAATAGTTGCACTTTAGGTTTTTATTAGTCGTTAAAATGAGATAACATGGTACAAATAATTTTAAGTTTTCAATTTTTTTTAAAAAAAATAAAAAAATAAAAATATATCATCATAAAGATATATCATCTCAATATTCTAAATGATGTCTCTCAAATATATATATATATATATATATATTAAATTTAAAAAAAAACAGGCAAATTAGACAATTTTTGGTAATCAGGTTTGAAAAGGACTTAAACCTTTGTCAACCCAAATGAACATTTTGATTTGACACAAATTCCCATTTTTCACTTCACATCGATCTTAGTTGGAATAATGCAATGTAGAAAATAAAAATAAAAAGAGGAAATTAGATGTCATTTTTGTCAAATAAAAAAGGGGGTTGGACAGACCATAATTAGATGTCATTTTTGTCATGTAGTTTAGCTAAATCCTAACTAAATAAATGTCCAATGGATGGTATTTTTTTTAATTTAAATTTAGCTAGTTTTTGGATCATTAAAAAAAATATATAGACACGGGATATGCAATATCGGATCCAAAAAATGAATTTTGAATCATTAAAGATTAAGAAAGATAAAAGTAATCAAAATTATGTTTAACTGTCCTAACTTTAAAACCTTGATATTAAATGTAAAAATATTATAATTTATTAGGGGTATTTTTGTACGGTACAAATAAGTGTAAATTGATAAATTACATCATGAGTTCAAGATCTTTAGGTGGAAAGATGGTAGAAATCAATTACACAAACAAAAGAATTATCAAAATGGGCAATCATTTTGTTCATAGAAAAATGGATGATCCACTTTTTGAAATAGAGGGTCATTTTTTTCATGGAATCCTAAATCATCAACCAACCATCCTAATCATAAATTTTTCCATTTCAAAATTTTACTCTTTTTTAGATTTGATTAAATTTAATTTCAAAAGCTATAATCATGAATGAATGCGGTTGTTGGTTTTGTGGGGTGAAATTGGAAGACAACCCCATGCCTTGTCTATTAGTATTTTACACTTCATGACTTTTCTTCTTCAATGCCATCTCTCACTCTGGTCCGGTTCAAAGGAAATAAACCAATGGTCAGATTTCCGGTTAACCACAAAACCCGGTTCGGTATGCAAAAAGCTCAAAAATTCTCTTTGGACATAAACCATTCCTTTCCTTGGCCCCTCCACAAAGAAACATGTAAACTCGACCATTAAAATCAACACCATAAACCGGTCCTCGAGTCCCAGAAGCCTTTAACTGTACTGAAAATTAGATGACATATATCGGTTTCTCCAGTTCTATCAGTTTGATCCCGGAAAAGAAACGATCCTACAGAAACCGCCTTCCCCGTCGATATCTAGCAATACAAAAAAGGAAGAAACAATGTTACAATAAGCACATATCAATTTGCTCAGAACAAAGAAAACAGAACCTGGTTAGGTTTTGTATACATATGATATATCAGGCAATTCCACAACATGAAAAAATCAAAGAAAAACAGAGAAAAACATACAACTATGGATGTCGGAAAACACTATATCCTTTCTGAAGATCGAAAGATTCAGAGGAAGAACTGTACGTACCTGGAAATCGGGTTGGATAAACAATGTCGAATGGCGAATAGATGATTCTTAAAGAGTCTTATCTTTTCAAGAACAGTCAAGAAGACGGAGACAGATCGTGGCTTGTTCTTATGAAGACAAGACCCAGTTATGTTCTAGGAGCAAAAGATATCTTATGGTTAGCTCTAAGGATACTTGAGAGAATTTGCCAAGATGTATATCAATGAAAATACGATCACAACCACATGTAAAAAATGCTTCAGAGGTTCCCGATACAGAGTTCAAGATACAGATTTAGAATTTCATGTCGATACTAAGTATCGTAGTAGTCAACAGAAGATCCATGAATTCAACCAGGTTCATTATATACTGAAAACATATGGAAAAACATACGGATTTTTTATTCGAACGCAAGGAACGAGGAGAGAGATAAAACCTGATGCGAACTTGGCAAATGTATGTAGTGTATGAACTTTCTTCAAATTTAGAAAGTTTATGATCAAGATCGCTGAAACACATATAAGCGATGTTTTCACGCAAAGCTTGCCATGTAAATAGATTCATTGTCTTCTGCTACAAGTAAAATATGATGGAACAAAAAACTAAGGACCGCCCAAGAACAGAAATTTCAAATTTGAGTACTGTAAGCAGAAATATGTACAACCAGTACCATGAATTAGGATAGCTTGTGCATATGTATCTGAGAACAAACACTTCTCTTCTGAAACACATACATGACATAGAACATGGTGATAAAACCTGTTCTTGCACACTTAGAGTCCCATGCTCTGTCGATTATTACAACACAGAGCCATGTTCTCAGACGCTAATGCTTAGGTTCTGCTAGTGGATATGAACAAAACTCGATCTTTCCCATACAAAGTGCTTACAGAGAAGGGAAGACTCCTTATGCATATACAACGAAGAATCTAACCATGCAAATCAATCCTTGGAGAAACAGTCCAATATGATCCTTTTTTTTCAGCTCCAATGTGATTCTCCATTGATCTCAAAAACATCAACTACATGCAGAATTTATGAAAAAGCATATATGTATTCGACTTAAATGAAATTTGCTCCTCGAATTATGACTACAGAGCAATGCAACTCGCAAATAACAATGTATTCCTGCGTAATCATCTTCGGTGAGATGCCTAAAGATCCACGAATTGAATATGAATGGAATTCCTCTGGACAAGAACTGCAAAGCTGATTCCGACACCGAGGAATGGAAAACCGATTCAGAGAACAGTTCTCGGGATATAAACCCTACAGATGGGGAAAACGAACACAGAAGGTATTTGAATGTGCATGCAAGATATCACGATCGCCATTACCGACCATTTCGGAGTTAGTCAACGGGATTCTCCTCTCGGGTCTCGCTGGTTTCCAATTCTAAATCATGTTCATGGCTTTCGATTTCACGAATCGGTGGCTGATCCCATCTTTATCTGATTCTGCTCGAGAGACCCTAAAGGAAAATTCTCTCATGGGATGATTTGCCGAGCGGATTGATCTGATCAGGACGCCACGATTCGGACTTGATCCACTGAAAGCTCTGGTCTTTACGATCTCTAGCAGAAAAATTCAAAATTTCTGTTTCTTCTATGAAAGGTTTAATTGAAAACATTCAGAAGTGTGAGGTTTTGTTTACAATAGATCATATAATATATGGTTTATATTTGAAGAAACATAAAAGTATGAGGTCTTGAAGGATCAATCAGATTTGGAAGTGGATATTTTTTTTTTGTTTTTTTGTTTTGCAATGAAAGAAAAAGTTTCAACTTCGGGAGCAAGAAAGAAAGCATGTGGGCGCTAGCAGCGGTGGAGAAATGTTGAAACTGCCTATGTCTCTTCCTCCAACACCACTGGTCTCCGACCCGAACTTACCGGGTGTCGTTGCCATTTCATCATCTGGCTCGGCAATTGAGCCGCTGAATCTTACTTTGTCCGAGGGTTATGGTCTGACGACCATGTTTTCCGGTGACTCTCTCGACGTTTCCGGTGAGGAGTTTGATTGGGTCACTGTGGATAGAGGAGAAGCTGATGTTCTTATGGGTAATTCTCCGGCCGTTCATGAAGTTCATGACGCTCTCGATGCACTTCGTCTGTGAGTTTTCCGGGAAAAGATTTGTCTTTTTTGAACAACATAAGCTCTGTTTTTGAATTTTGTTTAAGGAGAAAAACTCTCCAGATGTGGTTCTGTGATTTCTGTTTAACATTTTAGGATGTTGAGTGGTGATACAAATGCTGACGGGGAAGATGAAGCTTCGATGTCGGAGGATGAGATTAATGGCTGCATTTTGTCAGATGGGTTAGGGTTCCTAGATTGGACTGAACCGCCATTGCAGCTCTGCAACTCAAGACATCTGCAGCAGCTGCAGCCTTATATGCAAGACAGACTCTTCGACGCTTTTCATCTGCTTCAGACTGATCCATCAATCCAGGTTCCTCTGTTTCAACTCAGCTTTCCCCATAAGATGGTTTTCCCGACATGAATCAGGGCAAGAAAACCAGATCATAATGTAGACTTGTCTGTACATTGTAGAAGGAACAAACCTGTTTTTAAGCTTGATTACTTGTAGAAACGAAACCCATTGATCCATTATTGTCCACATCGCAGAGAATGGTTGTATCTTTGGCATCAGACACGACCGTATACAATGCGGTTATGAACAACGAGGTTGTTCGCGAACTCATAACTAATGGTAAGAAAGCTCGAGCAAGCAGTTTCTCGGAGGAAATCTACTGATTTCACCTCTCTCTCTCTCTCTATATATATATATATATAATACACATTATGTTTATGCAGTAGAATACGATCTCGAGAACTCGGATGGGAGAGCTGAAGAATCTGGATCAGCTATAGTAGATATCATAAAGAAGATGTTTCAGAGAAGTGCGACGAAAATGATAGAGGCAATGGAGAAAATAACAAAGTGCGTGACCCATCTGTTCAAGGTTCCATGTCATAAGGAGGTGGCTGTTGTGGTCGTAGTCACCGGTGATGAGCCGATGATGGAGAAGCTGCAACTGACGATTCTGCTGGCCGTGGTCGTCCTTCTGATAGTGTCGGTGACTCGAGCCGTGATGGCTTTATTTGGACATGTATGATCTGATCACATCTTGTTCGATACTTGTGTGATTGGAACATCAAACGTGATCACATTTGTTAGATGCGGTTCGATACTTGTGTGATTGGAACAACAAACGTGATCGTCTTACCGAAACCGTGGTTTTGTGATTGAAACAACGATTTCAAACGGATTTTACGATTATAATTCTCGTAAAAGTTGAAGTTGCGTTCATCTCTTCCTATATTTTACCATTACAAGGCAGATGGATGATATATGTATGATATAAAAGGCAGCCATTAATTGTAGTTTAGAATTATCGACGTAAAAACTAAAATCATCTTAGCGATTTGGTATAATCTAAAATTAGATTGTATAATCTAAAAATAATATTTAACGTTATTGTATTATCCATAATATTATTTATATTAATATTAGGGTTAGAAGTATCATGTAATGAAAATTAAATTAATCAATTTTTTCGCATTTGCTTTAATTTAATTTACTGTTACAATTAAAAAGTTTAATCAATATAATTAATGATTATATTCTAAATATTTTTTTAATATAAATCTTAAATTACGTCAAAATAATTTTAGATTAGATCCCTTTGATTTGACAAAAATTTTAAAATATATTATTATTTTTCTATACTCATATGTACTTTTTATTTTTAAAAACCATAGTAAATATTTTTATATATATATTTATGTAAGTGTTTTTTAATATGAAAAAGACATCATATATCATCCTCATTGTTTAAAGAAAACGATGTGGTTGATATTTTTAATTTAAAAAGTAACGGAGAAATGAAGTAAATACACAAATTTGACATATCATTGATTTTAAAATATTTAATATTTTAATGGTAAATGATCCTTGTTTTTATATTTAAAAAATGGCCAATAAATACGTCTATTTATCTAAAAATGTCAACTAACTATATAAATTTTTTTAATTAACTATAAAATACACAAATTTGGACATTTGTTTTGTGGCATATTCTCACACGACATTTAACACCGTTACTTTAACATGACTTCTGAAAAAAAAACAGCCCATGGACATAATTCACTTTGATTAGCCTGTGATAATGCCACGTGGTAAAAAAATTGAAATGCGTGGCAGCCGTTGGCTAACCGAAACGACGTCACTTGGAGACGTGGACGAGGAACGTTTACAGGGCAATTAGCACCAATAATATTCTGACACGTTGCAAAAAGTATCCGTTGACTACACAACTCTACTAGCTTAACCGAGTATGATCTCCTCTACAGATAGTTACATACATACATACATATACATCGCATACGTACAGAAACGTGAATGTGTGCAGATTTATGGGTTGTTGGACTTGGGCATAAGCCCATAAGGGCCCTACTATTGTGTTGCTTTTTTCTCTCATTCAAAATTGTTTTCTCGCGACCGGAAAAAGAAGAATGGCGACGGTAAGTTCGCCGGAGATTTCTCCTTCTTTGAAAAAGTTTTGGAGTTCTGGGATCAATCTTTTGTTCTTCCATTCTCCACTAAACTTTCTTTGGTTCGATGTTTTCCTTCGCAACGGTGTCTGATTGTTCAGACATTTTCGACAGATGAAAGATGAGTGAGAGGTCTTTTGGTAAGTTTTCCTTGTTGCATATTCTTACAATTACTAGTTTACTATGAACTGAGATATGCTTTGGTTTCTTTTCTGACCCGTCTCTTTTCTCTTGTTGTTGGGCTGCAAATGGTTTCATAACCATGGGGGAGCGAACTGATGGTAATCTTGATGTTTTCTTTTTACATTTTGCTTTAATTCTTTTTAAGCACAGGTATATGTTTCTTCCGTGTGGTGTTTCGGTCTTGAAAATTCGGAACTGAAATCTTCAGGGGGGGAATAAACAGCTCCTGCCATCCCCTTATGGTGACTACAACTTGTTCTTATGTCAAAGGATCACAGCCTAGAAGCCTCACATCAATACAGATGGGCAAGTTTTCAATCTTGAATCTATCCTCTGGGTTGACTCTCTTTATTGTTCATGCCCGCTTGGCCGTATGCGTGATTATTTTAGTTTGCTCTTGTATTAGGTTCAAGGATTATCGAATTTCCTGAAGAAAGGTATCCATGGTGATGATGATGACATTGTAAAGCGTAAGAATACCTTATCTATGTGTCAAACACCTATCCTCGTAAGAAAGGGAAAGCTTTTCTGGTATAGGAAGTTCCTACCAATTCTGTTTGTCTTTTCAGTTATGCTTTTCTTGCTGTGTTTCTTGACTAAACAATCGGTCCTCATTTAAAGTGACAGAGTTTTCTCTGGGCAGCTTGCCAAGATCTCACTTTGATAGTTGTGATGATCGCAGCAGAAGCTTCATTAGTGCTCAGAATAAAAACTTTGAAGTGTTTATGAGGGCTGTAAATTTTATGAATATGGGTAACTAACTGACCTATTTTCTGTCCTCAAAGGTCACTGTTGTTGGTATCGGCACCGAGTGGGGATTGTTGATGGCTTGTATTTCAAAAGAAAACGGAAGAAACTCCTGTGCACACGTAGAAAATGTTTTAAATGAGCTTACTATTCGGTGTATTAGCATTTACATATATTGTTAAACTTACGACATGTCTCAATCAGGTTTGCCTAAACGGAGTGGCTGATTTTTAATGGAATTGTTGGATTGTATCTTGCTCTTTGTTGGCGAGATATAGTCGGTATAATACTACGTACTGAAGTAAAGTTTTTGCTAGCTATATAGTCGGTATAAAGCTAAATAGCTAACAAATACTTTATTTCTGTAGGTTGTGTTTTTATGTGGAGAGTACTAAAGGATATGTTGATTTGTTTTTAATCAGACCTCCCACATGTCTGCTGCAAGATTCTCGATAGAGTTTCTTATCTAAACTCTTTGTAGACCAGGAGGCAGAGTGCTTGTATGAAGGTACTTCATTTACTTTGAACTATATGGCACACAGAGTAAGAATTCAACAATTTAATTTTAGGGTATCTGAATTTGGTTATACACATTCAAGTGTGTTTTCTGATATTTTCATATTTTCCATTAACCTGTTTGATTTGGCTGTATGCTGGGTGGGCAATCTTACAGCACTAAATTGTGGACTTTCAGGTTCGAATGGTAACTAGTGACAACCTCCAACCTACCAAAGCTATTGTGCTGGAGTGCGGAATATTAACCTATGGTACATAAGCCACTGAACCTATTATCATTGAAGGAATAACTTTTCATTCCTTGTCGGATTCTGAAAGTGAAAAGATGTCCGACAAAGATCTCACATTCATAGTGGTGATGGTCGCAGCAAAGGTATCTTTACTTCGGATTAAAACAGAGGCGTGCTACTTCTGAAAATAACAATAAAAAAAATTGCAATTTGTCTTGTGCCTAATTACACTGACGTGTGTGCTGTTTTATAATGTTTTGTGTCATAGAGAATGAAAGAAGGATGGGATGATGGAGGCAGCATAGCTTTTGCAGTTATTCTTTTGTTATCGGGACAGGTATTGTGATTGTGTGTAGCAGTTATGAACAGTATCTTCTTTATATTTCACGTTTGCAGCAGAAAGTGACAACAAAAAGTCTGCAATTTCAAAACAAGAACGAGGAAGAGAGAAACATATATCAGGAGGTTCGTACTCGCCATTTTTTTTTTTACCATTTCTGTAGTATGCATTATGCTACTTCCTTTTGTTTACACTTTGTAGAGATGAGTAATGCAAAGGGGATAAGAGGTGGTAGACGAGTTGAAATTTCAATGTATGAAATTGTGGTGGGTGATGACGTTCTCCCAACATTGGTAATTAGATAGTGATTGATGTTTCTACAACTTTTGCTATTGTTTCTTGGTATGTCATAGTTTATCTGTAACATATATAGATTTTGGTGTATGGAAAATTTTATGTAGATTCCAAGGGTAAGTGTTAATATCTGCCATCTCGCTTGCCCTCGATGATTCTAGCAAAATCGTGCATCTGTGTTGCCAGTGATAGTGAAGTCGGCGATCTTCTCATAATCTGCGTTGTGATAATCTGTGTCGGTATAAAGGTAAAAGACGCTAACAAATACTTTATTCCTGTAGGTTGCTTTATATGGAGAGCAGTGAAGATTACATTATAGCTTTGTTTAATAGAATGTGTAAATTTTTTTAATTATGCGTTTTCTTCTTTCAAAAGTGTTTGTCCTTAATTTCATTGGCACACGAGTTCATATCTGTGGGCATTGTTTTTATCAGACCACCCATATGTCTGCTGCAAGATTCTCAATGGAGTTTTTTATAAAAACATTATTTGCACAGGATCCCTATGGACCACGAATGAGAGATATTTAGTTTAGTTGAGTCAGATTGATGGCGTGAAGGTACTTCTTTTCCTTTGAACTATATGCCATGCAATGTAAGAATTTAACAATTTGGTTTTAGGGTTTCTCAATTCGGTTATAAACATTCACGTGATTTTTCTGATTTTTTTTCGTGTCTTCCATTATGTTTCTTTCTGTTGTACAGGGGATAAGACAAGGCGAGTTGCAACATTGTGGTGGATGATGCCGGGCTCCTCAATGTTGGTAATATGGTAACTGATGGATGCTATTCCTTTTGTTCATTTTTTCTTTGTATGTTATTGTTTTCTGTAGTATATACACATTTTGCTGTATAGAAAATCTTGTGTAGGTTCCAGCGGATGGGTTATTAATATCAGGCCACTCGCTTGCCCTTGATGAGTCTAGGATCAAAATTTCTGTGTCGGAGAGATCAATCATTTGTTCTTCCATTTTCCATTAAAATTTCCTTGGTTCGATGTTTTCCTTGGCAACGGTCCTGATTGTTTATAAAAACATCAGAACATTTCCGAAAGATGAAAGGTGTGGTTGGTTATGCTCTCAGGTTGCTTCCGAAGCAGGAGAAGACAGATTCTGAGAAAAATATCTGAGAAAGAGAGAGAGAGAAAACTTCTCGTTGAAGAGAGTATGCGTTTCCAAAAATCCGATCTCACGCCAAGCTCCTTTGGTAAGTTTTCCTTGTTGCACATTGTGACAATTACGAGTCTACTATGAACTGGGATATGCCTTTGTTTTCTGACCTGTCTATTTTCTCTTGTTGTTGGGATTGAATTGTTTCATTGCGGGGAGCGAACTGATGGTCATCTTGATGGTAATTGTTTTTGGCTTCATGCAAAAACTACATGGATGAAAGTGGTAATGTGAGCTGTGACTGAAGACAAGGTTTGAACCTAATACTTCAAAGTTTTATTGCCATCAGCCTTTCAATTAGACCGCCACCCTTTGTTTTATAAGGCTCGCAGCACAGCACTTTTTAGTAACGTGAATCGATCTAATTTTTTGTCCAGTTAGTTGCCTATTTGCAGGTTTCTTATTTTAAAAGGCTATTGAGGGCATGGCTGCAAGATATTAACAATGCGTAGCATTAGCATGAAAAATCTATGAGGTTGACTTCTAAAAGTCTGTAATCCCAGAGGATGATCTTTGTTGGCAAGCTATAGACAGTATCCACTGAAATAAAGTATTTGCTAGCTATAGTCGGTGGCTCGGTGTAAAGGTAAAAAGCTGACAAATACTTTATTTCTCTTGGTTGTGTTTTTATATAGAATGCGTTAGTCCAAAAAATAATTTTATTGCTGAATTAAGGGTTACTTTCTTTCAAAATTGTTTGTTCTTAACGTCTTTGGCAAATGAGTTCGTATCTGTGGGAAATTTTTTGTCATACCACCCACATGTCTGCTGCAAGATTCTCAATATAGTTTCTTATCTAAACCATCTCTGTAGACCAGGAGTCAGAGTGCTGGTGTGAAGGTACTTCATTTAGTTTGAACTATATGGCACAAAAAGTAGGAATTCAATAATTTAGTTTTAAGGTAACTGAACTATATATGCATTCATGTGTTTTTTTTCTGATATTTTCGTATTTTCCATTAACTTGTTTGTTTTTGCTGCATGCTGGGTGGGCAATCTTGTAGCACTAAATTGTGGACTTTCAGGTTCGAATGGTTACTAGTGACAACCTCCAACCTGCCAAAGCTATTGCGCTGGAGTGAAGAATATTAACCTATGGTACATAAGCCACTGAACCTATTGTTATTGAAGGAATAACTTTTCGTTCATTGTCGGATTCTGAAAGTGAAAAGATATATGGCTGGCAAGATATCGGCTAAGAACTCACTTTCATAGTGGTGATGGTCGCAGCAAAGGTATCTTCAGTTCTTGGGATTAAAACAGAATCATGTTAAATCTGAGAATAATAATAAAAAAATTGCAATTTGTCTTTAGCTTGTTTGTCAGTGCTTATATAAACCGACGATGTGTGGTGTTTTATAATATTCTGTGTCATAGAGATTCAAAGAAGGAATGGGATGATGGGGGCAGCATATCTTTTGCAGTTATTCTTTTTGTTATCGAGACAGGTATTATGATTGTGTGTAGCAGTTATGAACAGTATCTTCTTTCTATTTCACGTTTGCAGCAGTAAGTGATCAGAGATAGTCTGCAATTTCAAAACCTGAACGAGGAAGGGAGAGACATACATCTGAAGGTTCGTACTCTCCATTTTTTACCATTTCTGTTATATGCATTATGTTAATTCCTTTTGTTTACACTTTATAGAGGAGAGTAATGCACAGGGGATAAGAGGTGGTTGACGAATTGAAATTTCAATATATGAAATTGTGGTGGGTGATGTCTTTCTCCCTACATTGGTAATCAGATTAGTGATAGATGCTACTCCTTTTGCTATTTTTTCTTGGTGTGTCATAGTTTATCTGCAACATATATACATTTTGCTATTTGAAAAATATTGTGTAGATTCCAACGGATTAATTATTATATCAGGCCACTCGCTTGCTCTCGATGATTCTAGGAAAAATGTATGTTTGTGTTGCCAATGATAGTGAAGTCGGTGATCTTCTTTTAAACTGAGTTGTGATAATCTGTGTCGGTATAAAGGTGAAACAGCTAACAAATACTTCGTTTCTGTAGGCTGTTTTATATGGAGAGTAGTAAAGATTACATTATTTCGAAGAATGTTTCATGGCCAGCTTTCCTTTTATGATGTCGTGAAGTTACAGTGCTGAATCTAAAGTCCGCAAAAACTCGGAGAATTATCCAATTTCAGCTCACTGTTAATGTTGTTGTTCTCATCATTAACATTGTAGCGGTAGTTTCAAGTAGTGATGTCCCACTCAAAGCTGTGCATGTTCAGATCCTTGTCGTGTACAGATTTTTCTACTTTCTTATGTGCTGTCTGTATGTAGAGGATATCCATCGGTTTAAGGAGCTTTCTTTTTTTCTTTTAATTAAACAGTTGCTTTGGGTGAATCTCATAGTGGACACTCTTGGAGCCTTGGTCTCTGTCACAGAACCACCCACTAATCAACTCATGCACTGTCCTCCAGTGGGCAGGAGGTTATTGCTTAGAATCCAAATTCTCTCGTGCAGTCTTTAAGACATTGATCGAGCTTTTATGTTTTTTTAGTACAAGTCTATGAAGTATGAACTGCTGATGAGAATATCGAAGCAAAATCAGCTAATCAGAAGTAACTTGAGGTGTGATTCTTGTAACTTGGTGAGCGGAAGGTGTTCTTATTGTGCTGAAGTGCCTGTCTCCATTATAGGTATCTGGATTCCGTGTTTCTGATTACGGGTTTGTTTAGTGCAAAGCTTCCCACTTGTTCACGATTTTGTGCTGAAGTACCTGTCTCCATTATAGGTATCTGGATTCCGTGTTTCTGATTACGGGTTTGTTTAGTGCAAAGCTTCCCACTTGTTCACGATGTATCAAGTGGGTTATTGTTGCTTTTGCTACAAATTTCATTATGCATCAGTTGCTCTGAAACTTCTCGTCAACTTTTGTCCATGCTATTGTAATGGTGATATTCGCAGTTCGAATAATGGTTTTTCGGTGAATTGTGTATGTTAGCTTAGACAATGATTGATTCACGTTTCTTTGTTGCCCTGAAAATCTAACGTGTCATTCTGCTGGTTCTCTAGGACGCTTGCCAAGATCTCACTTTGACAAATTGTGATGGTTGCAGCAGTAGCTTTTTTAGTGCTCAGGATTAAAACAGAGTTGTGCTACCTCTGAAAACAATATAAAAAATTCTAATCGTCTTTACGTTGTTTGTCGTATCGTGTCAATGCTTATTTCAACCTACGGTGTTTACCTCTTGTTGTTTTCTAATGTTTTGTATTACCATTGTGTATAGGGAATCAAAGAAGGACGGTATGGTGCAGGTCGCATTGTATTTGCATTTGCGGTCATTCTTGTTGTAGTTGTTTTTGCTGTCTTCGTGACAAGTATTATGATTGTGGATAGCGGTTATGAACATTATCTTCTTTCTATTTCATGTTTGCAGCAATCAGTGACTTCAAATGCTCTCTGCAGTTTCAACACCGAAACGAGGAAAAGAGACACATCTGGAGGTCCGTACTTGCTGTTTTTTTACCATTTCTGTAATCTGCATTATGTTGTTTCCTTTTGTGTACACTTTATACAGGTAAGTGATGCACAGGGGATAAGAGGTGGTAGTCGAGTTGAAAATTCAATATATGACATTGTGGTGGGTCATTTCGGGCCCCCAACAATAAAATCTGGTCACTGAGAGTTGCTATTCCTTTTGTTTATTGTTTCTTGATATGTCATAGTTATCTGTAACATATATAGACTTTGCTGTATAGAAAATCTTGTGTAGGTTCCAGTACATGGGGTATTAATATCTGGCCCCTCGCTTGCCCTTGATGGGTCTAGCATGACTGGGGAGATCAAAAGCTTGCATTTGTTGCCAATGATAGTGATGTTGGTGTTCATCTCATAATCTGCATTGTGATATGATGATTAACTTCTCTTTTCTTGATAGGTTCAAAAAGATGCTAGTAAGGACCCATTCTTAATGTCTTGTTGTAAAGTTGCAGATGACAAAGGTATGCTTGGTATTCGATTTTTCTGTCTTTCCTCCTCGTTATTGTCCTCTGAATTATTTGGTTTGCTTGCATGAACAAAATGGTTGATTATGTAAAACAGAGGAAAAAAAACGTTTACTAAGTTGAATGAGATGTGAAGTGTTTACTAAGGCTGTAAATTGTATTAATATGGTTACCATTGTATGATGGAGTCAGCATTGCATCTGCAATCATTCTTGTTTTAATTATTCTTGCTGTCATCATGACAAGTATTATGATTGTGGGTTGCAGTTAGGAACACTTATCTTCTTTCTATTTCATGTTTGCAGCGGTCAGTGACGTCAAACGCTCTCTGCAGTTTCAAAACCTGAACGATGAAAAGAGATGTACATCTGGAGGTCCATACTTGCCGTTTTTTTTTTACCATTTCTGCAATCTGCATTATGTTTTTTCTTTCACTTTCACTTTATAGAGGTGCGTAATGTACAGGTGATAAGAGGTGGTGGACGAGTTGCAACATTGTGGTGGGTGATTCCAGGTCCCTCAACACTGGTAATATGGTAACTGATGGATGCTATTCCTTTTGTTCATTTTTTCTTGGTATGTTATAGTTCTTAGATTTCTATGAAATCTTTGCACAACTCACGTTCTCTCCGTTTATTTTCTTAGTAAATAAAAACCAGAAAAACAACTACAATGCATGTTAATCCTTATTGTTTCTTTTGTTTGTTTAGAAATGTAGAAGATGAAGGAGATTTTAGAGCAAGATCATAATAAACATAAAAGTAAAAACTTCTCTTCTTTATTTTCAATACTAAAGCTGAATACATATATAGGGAATTTCTTCTTCTTAGCCCTTACTATATTGTCCTTGACCAGTACAATTTGTTACGAATTCCTTATCCTAAAGTATTATTTTCTTCTTGGGCTCAAAACCCATTTAGCCTAGTCAACCATTTTGGCCCATCACACTCTCACATGCTAAGCATATGATCATCTTTGCCTTACGTGATTTTCTTCTTAGCTTCTTCACCACCGTCATTGTTCCTTTTGTTCTCCATTGTGGTTATCTTCTGCTTTGTGTCAACAATTTCTTGTAAAATCAAACCTTTGGATGAGTAATTTCCTACAATAGTTATCTGTAACATATGTAGATTTTGCTGTATAGAAAATCTTGTGTAGGTTCCAGCGGATGGGGTATTAATATCTGGCCATTCATTTGCCCTTGATGCGTATAACATGACTGAGGAGAGCAAAAGCATGCGTCTGTTGCCAATGATAGTGAAGTCGGTGATCATATCATAATCCGCATTATGATATGATGATTAACTTCTCTTTTCTTGATAGGTTCAAAAAGATGCTAGCAAGGACCCATTCGTAATGGCTGGTCGTAATGCTGGTAGGTTATGTGTTTTTATGTCTTTCCTCGTTCTTTTCTGAATTATTGGTTTGCATGAATAAAAATGGTTGATTATGTAAAACAGAGAAAACATAGATTACTAGAGTCGAATGAGATGTGAAGTGTTTATTCAGTTTGTAGATTTTATTAATATGGATAACCTTTATTCTGTCCACAAAGGTCACTGTTGTTTATATCAACACAGAATTGGGATTTTTTATGGCGAAACTCCTTTGCACGTAGAAAACGTTTTAATGATCGTACTATTCAGTGTATTATTATTAAATATATTGATAAACTGATGGCATGTCTCAGTCAGGTTTGGCTAAATGGAGTGGTGGTTTTGATTGGTATTGTTGGTCTGTGAGTTGCTCTTGCTGTCTTCTTGGTTGTTCTGATCCGGTACGTTTTTCTGTTTATGCAAGAAGTACAGTGTTTATCTTCGTGTCTATATAATTTTGGAATACCTTCACACCTTTTAGTTCTTACCAAAAAAAACATATTGTTGTAAACTGTCTCTGTAACACGCATCGATTGATTGTCTACGTATTTCATATGGGAGCTGTGCAAGAATTGTCTCTGTTTCCTCCAGATGTTTTACTTTCAGTTTTTTCTGGTTGCTGAAGAAAAATAATGGCTTACGACCAATTCTTCTCTTCTCCTTGCTTATTTTCAACCTGATGTCCAAGTTCATATTCATTGGAAAAGAGCTTGTGAAATCGTTTTGGCTTCACACAAAGACTTTGTGGACGAAAGTAGTAATGTGACAGATTGAAAGTAGTAATGTGACAGATTGAAGACGAGGTTTGTGAGAACCTAACACCTTCATGGTTTTCATTGTCATCAGTCTTTCACCTTGATCACTATCCTTGGTTTTGTGGGGTTCACAACACTTTTGAGTAACTTGTGTCGATAGTTTTGTTGTGCTTTTCCATTACATGTAAAGTAAGTTCCTGCAGATGTTTACTGCATGGTCTGGTTGAGATTAAATTGTACATGTAATTGTCTGGTTGCGGGCTTCTTATTTTAAAAAGGTTATGGAAGACAAGGGAGCAAGAACTTTTCAATGCGTAGCATTAGCATAAACCTATGAGGTTGACAAAATCCCAACAAGCGATGAGCTCTTAAAGTGGGTACTCCCAGGGGATGACCTCTGTTTGTCAGCTATAGTCGGTATAAAGGTAAAAAAAGCTAACAAATGCTTTATTTCTGCAGGTTGTTTTTTATACTAAAGATTGCATTATTGCTTTGTTTTTATAGAATGTGTTAGAGCAAAGTATAATTTTTTTGTTGAATTAAGTTTTCTTCTTTCAAAATTGTTTGTCCTTAACTTCTCTTACTTTGAACTAGATGCCATGCAAAGCATGATTTTAACAATTTGGTTTTAGGGTATCTCATTTTGGTTATACACATTCACGTGTTTTGTCTGATATTTCTGTTTTTTCCATCAACCTGTTTGTTTCTGTTGTTGTCTTCTGGGTGGGCAAATCTTATGGCAATTAAGTGATTAACTGTTGACTTTCATGTTCGAATGGTAACTCAGGATAACCTCGAAACTGCTAAAGCTATCGCACTGGAGATGGAGATCCACTGAACCTAATCTCACTGAAGGAAAAGCTTTTCGATTCTTATCTGATTCCGAGAGAGAAAAGATAGCCGATAAGATATCGGTATTTATCACCTAATGCTACTTACCAATTCTTAGTATGTAAAAGTTCGAATACTGAATGTCATGATAATTCTGTACATTTCAATATTGTTACAAGAAACAACATAAGGAGCAAGCCAAGGTATAGCTTCTGGATTGGTCTTTGTCCCGAGCATTACAAACATAATTTTGTTAGTTGGACACTTGAAAACTAACATGGTTGCTTTGTGCGTGCGAAAGGTTTTGGGGAGATCATCGCCCAATGACAAACTTTTGCTTGTTCATGCCCTTAAAAGTAGAGGCCATGTCGTCGCGGTAACTTGGAATTGAGTTAGATGAAACCCATATGCAAAATTTTTTTTTTCATTTTGCACCTTCAAAATCCATCTATCATTTTTTTTCATCTTTTTGGTTATATTTTCCTTACTGGTGTTTGAAATGAATTTCAGGCAGATATTGGCCTTGCTGTGTGAGAAATTGAGAATTCAAGGAACATAAGTGGCTAAGGAGAGCTTGGATATCATCACGTTTTGCTTTGTTATATCCACTTCAGTTGTTAAGGTTTGTCAAACTTTTGCCTTGTTATATATCTTCACATATAACTAACTACTTACGTTTGATATCCTCTTTAGCCGTTATTAACATTTCGAAGAATGTTTTATGGCCAGCTTTCCGATTTATGTTGTCCTGAAGTTCCACTGTTGAAACTAATGTTCATATACACATTCTGAGCTTACATGTTTTTGTGTCTTTCCTCCTTGTTATTGTCTTGTGAATTATTTAGTTTGCATGAAAAAAATGGTTGTTTATGGTAAGCCATCCTTGGTTGGGGAAATTAAGGTATTCTCTGTGGAGAGAGAGAGAGAGAGAGAGGAAACTTCTCTTTGAAGAGAAAATTCGTTTTCAAACATGTGATGTCATGCCCAAGCTCTTTTGATAATTTTGATGGTCGAATAGTAGCTTCTTTAATGCTTGAGAATAAAAGAACAATGGGGGTACTACTTCTGAAGATAATAAAAAAAAAATTATGCTATTTGTCTATACCTTGTTTTCATCTCAGTGCTGATTTCAACCTACGGTGTTTACTTCTTGTTTTCTGGTGTTTGTGTTACCATTATACGTTTGCAAATCATTCTTGTTGTAGTTGTGACAGGTATTATCACTCTTATTTCACATATATTATGTTTCTGGGTGGCACTTATGACACTATCTTCATTTCGTGTTAGCCGTAATCGGTGAGCACAAACAGTCAACTGAACGAGGAGATGAGAAACATACATCTGGAGGTTTGTACTCTCAGTGTTTTTTTTTAAACCATTCCTATAATCTGCATTATGTTGTTTACACTTTAGAGGTGAGTACTGAGCAGGTGATAAGAGGTGGTAGACGAGTTGAAATTTCAACATTAGTAATCAGGTAGTGATTGATGCTACTCCCTTTGCTTATTGTTTCTTGGTATGTCATAGTTGGTCTGCAACATATATAGATTATGTTGTATGAAAAAAGTTGTGTAGGTTCAAACGGATGAGGTATTAATATCTGGCCACTCGCTTGCCCTTGATGAGTCTAGCATGACTGGTGAGAGCAAATTCCCTCTTCTCTGTTGCCAATGATCGTGAAGTCGTTGATCATCTCATAATCTGTGTTGCGATATGATAACTTTTTCTTTTCTTGGCAAGTTCAAAAATATGCTATCAAGGACTCATTCTTTAACTTCTGGTTGTAAGATGCAGATGGCAATGGCATTATGCTGGTAGCTTACATGTTTTTGGGCGTCACGCTTTCTCATCGTTTGCCCTAACAAACCTCTTCCAAAACCAGTGATGTTCCCACACTCCGGCGACTTTCTCCAACGGAACATTCTTGGTCTCCGGCAGAAACATCTGCATGGCCGCCGTCATCACCACCACCCACCCTCCGTAGAAGAAGAAAATCCCAGCCTCCAACCGGCAAAGCATCGCCAAGAAGCTCTGAGCCACCGCGAATGTGAACACGAAGCTCACCGCCACTGTCACGCTCTGCGCCGCCGATCTGATCTCCAACGGGAAGATCTCGCTCGGGACGAGCCACCCGAGCGGACCCCATGACCACCCGAAACCCGCCACGTACACGCATATCAGGACAAGCACAACATAGGCGTAGCCCTGGCCACGCAGCTCGGCTATCATGATGATTCCGACCATTACTTGCGACACAAGCATTTGTATCCCGCCGACCAGGAACAGAGTTTTCCTGCCGAATTTGTCCACCACGAGCATCGATACGAACGTCGAAACCATGCCCACGATTCCTGTCACCACGGCCGACATCAGGGACGCGCTCTCGCCGAATCCGACGGTTCTGAAAAGAATCGGAGCATAGAAGGCGATCACGTTGATGCCGGTGACTTGTTGGAAGAAGGGTATTGCTAAAGCCATGACAAGCTGAGGACGGTACTTCCTCTGAAGCATTTTCACAAATGGGTTGTCTGCGTAATCAGTCTTGATCTCAGAGCCAGCTCTGACGAGATCGGAGAGCTCGTCTCGGACATCAGGGGTTCCCCGGACACGGCGGAGCACGAGCTCGGCACGGTGGACATCGCCGGTTCTCTGGATGATGCTGTTGGGAGTCTCCGGCAAGAAGAGCGAACCGAGTGTGAGAATGGAAGCGGGAACAGCAGCCATGGCTAAGGAGATTCTCCAACCGAAGCCGTGTTTGATCTTCTGGGTCCCGTAGTTGATGAGATTCGCCGTTAGGGCTCCGATTCCGATGCTGAGCTGGAAACCGGTGTTGAATGCTCCTCTGTACCTCGCCGGAGCCATCTCCGAGAGATACAAAGGGACTGACTGCAAGAACAAACCAGAGGGAAGCATGACGATGAAACCACGAAAGTCGTGCATCAAAGTTTGAGATTTCAACTCAAATTCATGACTCTTCCCTGAAATTTACGTTTGGGTAACGTAATTTCATACATTTCAATTGAAACTTTTTCCAATCACACAAAAAGATTGGAATTTTGAAAACATACTCTCTCATAATTCTCAGAATTACAAACAGAGACTTTTTCGCAACTTTATCCAAAATCACGTGCTTTTTTTTTCAGGAATCGAAACCCATTTTCTCCAATATAGACATTACCTGGTTGGCAAACCCAACGCCGACACCGAGCAAGAGACGTCCAAGAATGAGCATGAACACATTCTGAGCAGCACCACCGAGAGCAGAGCCGGCGAGGAAAGCAGCTCCGCCGATGACCATCGACGGCCTCCGACCAAAGACACGTGTCACCGACGACGCCATTATCGACGCCACCAGTCCGGCAACGTACAGAGACGACGTGAACGACGTCAAGAGTTGGCTGTTGAACACGCAGTAGTCGCTGCTCCTCGTTCCTCTGTTCATCATCATCTTCTTGTACACTCCCGGGAAGAACTTCTTCAGAAACGGCTCCATCGATGCCACTCCCCCTTTATTTCGATCATAATTCAACGTTAAACTCAGATGAGATTCAGTTTCTGGTCAAGAAATTTGATGTTTGATAATATCATGATAAACCTGAAACTCCGATGTCATAGCCGAAGATGAGTCCTCCCGTGGCAGCCATGACACAAGACATCACCACGAAAGGAGTGATCTTTCCAACCTCAGAGCCAGCAGCCATGGATTCGCTCTTCTGGGTTCTGCCTGAATCATACACAAAAGCAGGGAGAAGCCATTTTCGAAGGTTGAGAAAACAGGCATCTGTTAGTGCAGTCTTTGTTGACTAGATGAGTGGATAGTGTGCGCAAGTGGTCAGGACAGATTAGCTTCTGTAACATCGCTTGGGTCCAATCAAGGGGTCGAGTTTTCTATATATATATATATATTATATAATCTGAATTATCATATGGTCATTGCAGTGGAACATCACAACACAGGACATGTTTTGGGACCGAGGAAGAGACAAAGTGAAAGACTTTAATGGTGAGATGTCTTGGAAAAGTCTTTGCAGAAACTTCACTGTCCTACTCATCTTTTGTATTGTGTATTATTATTATTTTCTTGTTCTTGAAAATTCAACCGATTAGCCAAATCCTTCAAAATCTGAGCGTAAATCACAAAAGGGTTTTGATCTAACATCAGAGATATCACCAAACGAATTTGCATTTAGCCACGATTGTATTGCTTTCTTGTCAAGCAACCAGATCTGTTTCTGTGATATGCAGACCTTTCCACTGTTCATCACGCAAACTCCACAATCTGAAACAATGTGAAGTTTTTCACCAGAAAGATGGAATTTTTATTTTGGTAGGAGTTTAAAGTTCGAATTGCAGATTTCACTTTGCTGAATCGTGTGTGTTTTTACGTGTGGAAATGTCTATCTGAAGTTTTCAAGACCAAAGAAGACAAATATTATATATGAATCCAGCTTCAGTTGCAATGAACACTGGAAAAAATGGCGCGGCGGCGGCCATCTAATCTAGGGGTCTAATAGACAATTACAAACTTTAGGACTTAACTGCAATAAACAATAAAAATGAAGGATTCAATTGATAATTTAAACTTTTTTGTTTGAAACGTGTGTATAAATTTGGGAAAAGATTTGAGATTTCAAGAAATGGTACGCTAACACCTGATCCGATTGTAAAAAAAAAAATCTGAATTTTGAGAAATATAATTGAATTTGGGCATTTGATTTATTTATAACCAGCATAAAATAAAAGTTGCAGAACAGGAAAAAAAAAAGGGACCAGAAGTTGCAAAATATTTGATCGTATTGCGTTGTTATGAGAATATGATCTTAGAAATCACGTTACCCTAATAATAATGGCAAGTTTGAGTATTCTCTCCCCCCGAACTGATAGGAATCAAGTCGCAGCGCCGATAGTGTTGACCTTCCGGAGATACCTTCCATGGCCGAACGCGATCCTTCGACTTCTGCTTTTGTCGTCCTTTTCTCGTCCCTGCTGCTTCTGACGGTAATTTTCTCTCCAGTAAACTTTCTCCATGTCTGGATGGTGGGCAAAAGCATGAAAGGATGGAGAAAGAAAAATCGAATCTTTGAGTTGTGTGTACATATGGTGATAGATTTTTTTGTGGAATTAGAAATCTGGGTTTCTGTTTTTAGGTCGCAAATTGCTCTGAATATCGAGTTTAGAACACTGGATTTTGCCTACATTCAGTGCTTTTCTGATCATTTTTACGAGTTGGGTTCATATTAACCTTAATCGGGCTGGTGAAGATCGATTCCTCGAACTATGTCTGTGTTTGTGTTTTTGAGCTGTATCTTCCTTATCACAAATGTTTCTGGTTTTCATTATCAAAAAGCTGGATTCTGTATGCAAATGAAGAAGATGGAGACCACTTAGTCTTTGATTGTTCATCCTCCAAAACCATGTTGGAAAAGCTCTCTCCATCGTCTGGAATGGAATGCCTTAATGTATCGCATTTAGTTATGAGGGAAATAACTCAAAATTCGTCGAGATGGTTACTGACGATGTAAATGTTCTGTATAATGGCTGGATATTGCAGTCGTAAGTTTTTGTTGGGGCCTTTTCCTTACCATGTTCTTTAAAGCTTGTAACTTTTGCTTCCGTTTCGACATGTTTTGTTGCAGGTAGTAGTAGGGGAGGAAGTCGGCAAATCTGGGAGGTTCCCACTTGTGGTGAGTACTTGGCCTTTTGTGGAAGCCGTTCGAGCTGCTTGGAGAGCAGCGGATAACGGGCTCTCTTCCATTGATGCTGTTGTCGAAGGTTGTTCTGCCTGTGAAGAACTCCGCTGTGACGGTACAGGTAACGGTCTATTCCATCTTTTTTTCTATCTGTTTGCAATGGCTATGTTGATAGCATCTACTCTTCTCTTCTATTGGAAATAGAAGAAGGAAGTATGCCCTTTGTAGCCAACTCTGAAACCTTACAAGTATTTACATAATCTGCTTCCAGATTCAATATATTGGGTTTGTTCCCTAGTGTGTAGGATAGAGGACATAGTCTTCAAGATCAAATTTTGTCTATATTCTTTTATGAAGGATGCTAAAACCGATGTTGTTTTTCAAGTGGGACCTGGAGGAAGCCCGGATGAGCATGGAGAAACCACGATTGATGCCTTAGTCATGGACGGGGTAACAATCATCGCCCTTTCCACTCTCTTCTCCTATCTCAATGCCATATCAAGAACTTGAAGCATGACTGATTGATTCTGTTTTCCGATCATGCTAAGGACATCAATAGGTGACTATGGAGGTTGGAGCTGTTGCTGCAATGAGGTACGTAAAAGATGGTATCAGAGCAGCGAGGCTGGTGATGAAATACTCACGACACACATTGCTTGTTGGTGAATGGGCCTCGGCCTTCGCCATCTCCATGGGTCTTCCTGGACCCGTGAATCTCAGCTCCTCGGAATCCATAAAGAAATGGTCAGACTGGAAAGAGAATTACTGCCAACCCAATTTCAGGAAGAACGTAATCCCCGAAAATGACTGTGGACCTTACAAACCAAAACATGATACCGAGGTAGCTATCAAAGGCACACTCACGGAATCATGTGAGACAGGGAAGATTGAGTATAGATCTTCTCTGATTGGCCATCACAATCACGACACCATATCGATGATTGTCATTGACAAAGTAACTCGGGTTTATGTTTCTCATTGTGAAAGAGCTTTATTTTCTTGATTAATTTGTTCATATCATTTTAAAACTCCTGACGTTTTCTCTCTATAGACGGGGCGTATAGCCGTAGGGACATCAACAAACGGAGCCACGTATAAGATTCCTGGAAGGTAATGTTCAGATGATATTTTGCATGTCTTACGAAACCGTTTAGCTGACAACAAATGTCCAGAGGTGATTTCATAGTTTAACGTTCTTTGTTTCGTTATTCTCTCATACGAACTGGTCTCTCCCGGAGAAGCTTAGAAAGAAAAGAACTTTCATCTGATTTGCAGAGACAGAATCTTGATTCTGATTTTTTTCTGGAAGTTACTGATTTATTTTGTTGCGGAAATGCAGAGTGGGCGATGGGCCCATTGCGGGTTCATCAGCCTATGCGGATGATGAAGTGGGCGGATGTGGTGCGACTGGAGATGGCGACATCATGATGCGCTTCCTCCCATGGTAACTCTCCCCATCTCCCTAAACAAACCGACATGTTTTTTTACATATATAATCTTAAAACAAATTGTATATAAACTTATATATATTGAACTTAATCCAGATTTGGAAGTTGACAAATGAAAAAACGAAGAATATAAAACATTGAAGTTAGACGTCAAAAAAGGTGTAACAATGTTGTCTGGGCTTGTGTCATCAAGCAGTGGATGCTAAATATTATACTGTTATAGAACTCTGAAATTTAGTACTTTCTTCTTCTTCTTCGAGCTTCTTAGTTACCAAGTTGTGGAGAGTATGAGACTGGGAATGGAACCTGAACGTGCGGCTAAGGACGCGATCTCGAGAATTACCAGAAAGTTCCCCGATTTCGTGGGGGCCGTCGTGGCTGTGAACAAGAATGGTTCGCATGCCGGTGCTTGCCACGGGTGGACATTTCAGTACTCTGTCCGAGATCCCGACATGGACGATGTTCAAGTCTTCACTGTTCTTCCATCGTGAAAAAAAGGGTAAAACTCCTCTAGTAAAAATCTCTCTGAAACATCATATCTCCATGAATGAAGCAAGCTGCTGTGTCTGGTTATTACATTATTAAGTCAGATACCTTGTCATTGCATTGCTGTTATGTCTGTCGATGAGAAACGACGTGGAGTTGATGCCTTGAAATACAGAACGGCGTCTCGTTTCGTACTCCCTAAGTAGTATGTATCATAAATAGTTTTTATATTCAAGTTTTTTCTAATGTCTAAAATCCACCGGACAAGGGAGAGAAAAGACGTGACAGGAGGAGGAAAATACGTCGTAGGCAACTAAGTCCCAAAACTTTATATTTACATTATTGCCCTTGAACCTGAACTTTGTGTGTGTGTGTGTGTATAGATATACCGTACTAATTGAGGTATATGCCCATGAGGATCCTTGAAAGATGGTATTAATAATAACCATGTAGCAACCATACTAAAATACTAATATATATAACTTAAGCATGAATATTCTCCAAGACCCTCTCTCTCTCTCATTCTTGGCAATGGGGGAATTTTCTTTGTTGGTAGTTTATTATCAAAGAACTTTTCTTTACTTCTCTTTTAAAAAAACTGCCAATAGAAATTTCATATTATACTTATATACACACACCCAAAAATAATAGAGAGAGAATAAAAAAACAGAGCTGACTGTTACGGTATAAATGGCTTTGCAGGTGGCAGGCAGCAACAACGTGCTTCCTTGTTCCCTGACCTTGTCTTCTTCTTCTTCTTCTTCTTATCCTCTCAACAAGTTCAGAGATTTCTGAAGTGGGCGCGTAAACAGAACAAGTGTGAGTTACGTTTTCTTTACATGTTCTTGTTCTGTGCAGTGAAGTCTCTCTCTGTCTGGTTTTGTTTCACTATCTTTCATTAGGTTAAAGTTGGAGGCTTTACGGTTCCTGAAACATTTTCGGGTGTAAGCGGATTCGGTTTCTTGGCTCTGTTTTCGGGTTTTCCTTGCGTTGCATTGACGTTTTTTATCTGTAGTTATTCATATCATCAGATGAGATGCAGACAATTTACTGACTGAGTTTTGTTCTTCTTGCTAGATTAGATGACTAAGTTCCTGCAAGAAACTTCTGGTTTTCTGGTCACTCGTTCTTAATAACTCAGCCTAAATGCTTGTCGGATTGATCTAACGGACATAACCAATCCGAGGTTTCTAAGATCTTTGCAGTTTCCTATAGCTTTCGGGTGGTGTGTTTCGATACAGAGGTCAATCACTGTGTTAATGTTTCGTAATCGTGTTAACCTTACAGATTTCAATGGCGGATCACCAAACCGGAAGATCACTAAGCGAGCATCTCTTGCTGCCTCCTCCTCCTCTGCTATCTTCAGCTGTCATTGCAGCCATTAACGGGAAGAAAAGAAGCAAATATGTCGTCTTCTGGGCGTTGGAGAAGTTCATCCCCGAGGGTTTCACCGACTTCAAGCTTGTCTATGTTCGTCCTCCCATCACCTCTGTTCCTACCCCGAGTAAGTTCCAATTCTTGCCAGATGAATCTCGAGGATAAAGATCCATTTTTTAAGACATTTCATGGTCAAAGATTGGTTCTTCCATGGAGTTTCGATGCAAAATCGGTTTTCTGAGCAGAATTTTGAGCGTTTTACTCTGCAGTGGGAAATACGATACCGATCTCAGAGGTTCGGGACGATGTAGCATCGGCTTACAGGCAAGAAGTGGAGTGGAACACAAGCGAAGTGCTCCGTCCCTACCTGAAAATGTGTGAGCGCAGAAAGGTCGGTCTTTGTCTGAATCCTCGGCCTCCGTTTCATTCTATCCGGAAAATCTGATAAAACGAGCCAAAAATCTAAAAAATTAAATCTCTTTTAATGCAAGGTCCAAGTTGAGGTTCTGGTGCTGGAATCAGATGACATCGCAGCAGCAATAGCAGAGGAAATCGCGAGGAGCAGCATCAACAAGCTCGTGATCGGACTTTCTATCCGTGGATTCTTCTCGAGAAAGATCGATATGTCTTCCATGATTGCCGCTGCCGCCCCGAGCTTCTGCACAGTCTATGTGATTTCAAAGATGAAACTGGCATCCGTCCGTCCATCGGAGGGCGAGACGACAAACATAACCATCCGCTACGAAGGGACCGAGAGAAGCAGTTCGACCAGTGACTCGACGGGCGATAATCCGGGGCTCCAATCAGGTACAAATCTATGGTGTCTATATGGTTGTTCCTGTTTGTGCGTTAAAGAGTTCCAAGATTTGCTTTCGTTTGCTTCCGAAGCTCAATCTCGAGTTCATCCTCCATTGCCGTCCCCGAAGCAGCAGACTCTTCCGGGACTTGTCCGAATGGATACGAGCTCTACCGAGACAGATCAGGAGGGCTTAAATGCGTCAGAGACATATCATCTGCCTAGCTGGGGATCCAGATGGAGAGATCTCGAAGAAAGACGAGAGATAATGAGCTCATCATCGAGCAATAACCGTGAGATCGTGAGCATGGATTGGGGAACCACGATTCCAGACAACAGTTCCTGGACTTCGCATCAAGCTTCGAACATGTCTGAAGAACTCCTCAGCATGCATTCCGTTGCGGATAACCAGGTACACCTTCGGTCTTGTCTTCGACATATTTTCAACTATAACGAATATAATTTACATCGGTATGTTCATTGAATATAAATCTTTGTGCGTAGGTGAGTCTGAGTTTCGAGATAGAGAAGCTGAGAGCCGAGCTGAAACATGTCCAGGAGATGTATGCCATGGCTCAGACCGAGACAGTTGGTGCTTCAAGAAAGGTTAGTGTTTCTTGGACATCGAAATCCGAAATGAGCAGAGCTTTTGTATGGTAAAATGACGTCTGACATTTTCGGTATTTTGCAGCTGGACGAGCTGAACCAACGGCGGTTTGAAGAATGGGAGAGGCTGGAGGGGTTGAAGGCGAAGGAAGAGGAAGCAAAAGAAGCGGCAGCAAAGGAGAAGAAGAGGTACGAAGAGGCGACAAAGGAGGCGGAGAGAGTGAGGGAACTAATGGCGAAAGAAGCTATGCAGAGGAGAGAGGCCGAGATCAAAGCGGAACGAGACGCCAAGGAGAAGGAGAAACTCGAGCTCGCTCTCGTCAAGGACTCGCTCCAGTATCAACATTACACATGGGAGGAAATCTTGGCTTCGACCTCGAATTTCTCAGAGGATCTCAAGATCGGGATAGGAGCTTACGGAACGGTCTACAAATGCAATCTACATCACACGATCGCTGCTGTCAAAGTCCTTCACGCCGGAGAAACTCAGCTCTCCAAGCAGTTTGATCAAGAGGTAAGAACAAAAAGCCTCGGAGCAAAATAAACTTCCTTATGGGTGCGTGCTTAAACCCGAGATCGTAAGGTTTTCGGGTACCCTATTTTCCGGTACCCGAAATGCACCAGGCCATGAACGATGCGGTTCGGGTTGGGATTTTTCCGAACCTCGATGGGTTTTCCATGGATACCCGGACAGAAGTTTACATCTTAGTGTATTTACAGTAATAACTAGGTAAATTTTCGCATAAATTTACTATTATACCCAAAAGTCAACTTGGATCAACAAAACTTTGTAGATTTTCATTGGTTTCTGTATTTGCGGGTTTCCAACTTTCACCGTGGGTACCCAAATCTCGTGGGGTCGAGGCCGAGGCCGGGTATCCCAAGAACTCGGGTACCGACCGGCATCCACTCCTATACTTCCTTGATTCATCTGATCAACCTTTCCCGTTTTTGGGCAGCTTCAAATCTTGAGCAAGATCCGACACCCTCATCTCGTCCTCCTCCTCGGAGCTTGTCCGGAACGAGGCTGCCTCGTTTACGAGTACATGGACAACGGAAGCTTAGAAGACTGCCTGATGCTCGTTAACGACCGGCCTCCGATCCCATGGTTCGACCGTTTCAGGATCGCGTGGGAGGTGGCATCTGCTCTCGTCTTCCTCCACAAGTCCAAGCCGAAACCGATCATCCACCGTGACTTAAAGCCGGGCAACATCTTGCTCGACAACAACTTCGTTAGCAAGCTCGGCGACGTGGGTCTCTCGACAGTGGTGAACCAAGACGACCCTTCTTCCAAACTCACCATCTACAAGAAGACGAGCCCTGTCGGAACACTGTGTTACATCGACCCCGAGTACCAGCGGACCGGGATGATCTCCACGAAATCGGACGTATACTCTCTCGGCATCGTGATCCTGCAGCTGATAACCGCGAAACCCGCTATCGCGATTACTCAGATGATGGAAGATGCGATCTCGGAGGACGATGCTGTGTTCATGGAGGTCCTGGACGGGAAAGCAGGGGCATGGCCGATTAACGAGACTCGTGAGTTTGCTGCTTTAGGGTTGTGTTGTACGGAACTGAGAGGGAGAGACAGACCGGACCTGGAGGATCAGATACTTCCTGTCTTGGAGCGGCTGAGGAAAGTGACAGAGAAAGCTTCCCAGAATTCGCTGTCTCAGGCTCGGACCAGTCCTCCTTCTCACTTCGTTTGTCCGCTTCTCAAGGTTAGTAGCTTGTATCGCAAGTAATCAGTTGCTTGTGAATCAAGAAACCTCGTATTCTCGTATGTCTGATTGGTTTTCTTTAATCAATTGGCGTCAGGACGTGATGAACGAGCCATGCGTCGCAGCGGACGGGTACACTTACGATCGGGAATGCATCGAGGAATGGTTCAGAGACCACAACACGTCCCCAGTGACGAACCTTCCATTGCTTAACAAGAACCTTCTGCCAAACTACACTCTTTATACAGCGATCATGGAATGGAAATCCAAGAAAAAGTAGGAATCGATCCGATTTCATGCCTAGGAATAGGATTAGATCACTTGCTCTGGTTCTTTATTCGTCATGGAAACAAAAAACAAAGACAAACGATCATGAAACACAGCTGCTATCAGTTGTCATGGAAACAGTTGCATCATTAGGTTTCTTCAGTTGTCGAGAAACTTCTTCTTTTTTTCGGGCACCCTATTAGCCCAATGTATATGGACCAGTCCGCCTTCGGATCTACATGCTGTTTCGGGTTGGATGATGAGTCGGCCGAGCAACAATCTATCCCGTTTTATTAGCCTTAGTCCCCTCCATTGATCAGCTGCTATGGTATGGTCAGAAAGAAATGCTAGGCTATTCCGAAGTATTGCTCCAACGATTGACTCTCTTTGTCGAAAGCTGAATGCCACCGTCCGGCCGTAGGATTGACTCGGAGCTACTTGCCGATTGGTACTCCCTCACTCTCTTGCGTCGTTAGCTGCTGTTGTACTTTCGTTTGATACGGTGTCATGTTGAGGCATACGGCTATTTTCTGTTGACGGGTGTTCGGTCCTAGACCGGTTTTGTATACAAACTCTTTCTTTTTAATATATTTTGGCCTTCATATAAAAAAAACTGATAAATTAGATGTTTTCTTAGGGAAGAAGCAATGATTTATGAACATTCTTTTGGCACCCAAAAATAAAAACAAAAGGAAGATGAAAAGTCAGAAACAACGGTAGTTAAAAGGGTCCCGACGAAACCTTTGATTCTGACGTTTGACAGATTCATGTTTCATGAGCTCCGGAACTGGAAACGGCAATTGCATAGTACATACCGTTGATTTTTCATCATGACTTCATCGAATTTTCCTAGAAAAATTAAATGAAACTATCGGATAATTCTGTAATGTTCTCTCTCTCTCTCCCTCATCTCTCTCCTCTTGTCTCGAAGCTGTTGAGCTTGTCTGAAACAGAGATCGATTAGAGAGAGTTCCTGGAATCTGGGATCTGAAAAAGATTCAAGCTTTTTAAGTCAACGCCACCTGGTATCTCTTGTTCTTTCCTCAAGGAGATGTTTTTTTATTTCTGGGTCAAAGTTATTTGCAGATCGTTGCTTTACTTGCTTCTGGAGTTTCGTGTCTTCATCAGACAGTATGCAAGCATCGGACGAAGAATTTGATTTGCTTGCTTGAAGTTTCTGAAGTCAAAGCCTTCGGCTTTTGTCTTCAACCTCTTTCTCTTTTTCATGGTTTCTTGAATTTCTCAGTTGTCTAGATGATGAACTGCTTTTCTGGATCATGATGATGACGATGATGATAGTTTAACATTTTCTTGCAGAGAAGCTGTCTAAACTCGGTGGATAAGATATGGGAGACCGGAAAAAACCCGAAGACCGAGCTCTGACCGTGGCGGTTGCGATCAAAGGAAACAACATCAGCAAAAGCAAAGGTCTTGTCCGGTGGGCGATTCAGCAGTTTGCTTCTCTTGATCACGTTGTCTTCAAACTCTTACATGTCCAACCAAGAATCACTTCTGTCCTTACGCCGAGTAAGTTCACCAACTAATAGTTTCAAGATTCAAGATTCAGCTTTTTCTGGTTTAGATCTCTGTGTCTTTCTCCGGAAATGCGATGTCTGGATCGGCTTTATTGCTTGTTAGCAGTGGGAAACTCGATACCGATATCGAGCGTGCGAGAAGACATAGCCACGGTTTATAAGGAAGACGTTAATTGGAAGACGAGAGAGATGCTTCTTCCTTACAGAGACATGTTTGTCCGAATGGAGGTATATTGATACACAACTGGTTCTGTTACATTTTCTGCAAAACTATACGGAATCATACACTGAAAGGCTTTCGGAAATTTCTTGTCGCAAAGGTTCAATCGGATATAATGATGCTCGAATCAGACGATATAGCGGCTGCGATTTCTAAGGCTGTTGAAGAGAATGGAATCAACGAGCTCATCGTCGGGGCTTCGTCCTCTAGCTTCTTTCCATGGTGAGAAACCTGAAATCTTCATCTGTTATCAGAAAATCTAACCCTAACCCTAAAAAGCTTCCTGATTTCTGAATCATGATCAGATCTTTTTTCACCTGAAAACACAGTCTGTGTCTTAGCAGGAGACAGAAGAGAAGCAACTTGTCTTCAAGAATCTCGGACAGTACGCCGAGGTTTTGCACTGTACACATCATCTCTAAAGGAAAACTTCTGTCCGTACGACCACCTGATCCAGACCGGGAAGCCGCTGTTACAGATGACAGGAGCGAAGAACGGTTTTCATCGGCTGGGGCGAGCCATCGCTTTCCCTCTTCGCCATTACTCTTCCAAAGACTTCACGCCCTATCGAATGTGAATAATGCACTCATCCATAACAGAGCTCTGTCCTTTGATGTGGATGAATCCAAGAAGCATCATCATCCAAAGGGCTTTTACCGTACTAACAGTTCGGGAATCGGGTATGCAGCAAGCGATTCCTCGAGCTGGAGCCACTCCCAGATGGATAACCAGACGTCGTTCTCGGGTCAGGGATCCAGTTCGAGCGGATATACCGACTCTACTTCATCCGGAAGTCAGGTAAAACCCGTCACACAATCATCATTTCTCGGTCCTTTTTTGCCGTGATGCACTGATGTAAACACAGACAATTTCTTGCACAGATGAATGTGGACTTCGAGCTCGAGAAGCTCAAGATCGAACTCAGACACGTTAGAGGAATGTACGCTATGGCTCAGACCGAAATCATGGATGCTTCTAGAAAGGTTCGTGTCTGAACTCAACGGGTTTACATCTGCATCTCTTCTTCTTCTTCCCTTTCATCGATCTTTTTTCCCGACCTCGTTTTCTCAGCTGCAAGATCTGAACCACCGACGATTAGAAGAATCCGTAAAGCTGAAGGAACTGACGATTAAAGAAGAAGAAGCAGAAGAAGCGGCGGCAAAGGAGAAGGAGAAGAAAGGAGAGGCGGAGAAAGAGGCTGAGATGGTGAGGCTAAGCGTCGAGAGAGAGGTCGAGGAGAGGGTAGAGGCGGAGATGAGAGCCGAGGAGGTGGCGAGAGAGAAAAAGAGGCTTCAATTTCAGCTCGAAGGCGGTTTTCAGTACGTGAAATTCGCGTGGGAGGAGATCGTCGAGGCGACTTCCTCGTTCTCCGAGGATCTGAAGGTCGGAATGGGAGCTTACGGAAACGTGTTTAAGTGTTGCTTGCACCACACGGATGTCGCCGTTAAGGTTCTTCATCCGGACAAGACCGGCCTCACCAAGCAGTTCGAACAGGAGGTATATTATATATTACACGCACGTATGTACATACGCAAATACACATCTGTGATCTCTATATATATATATATTAACACGTGTTTTTTCCAGCTGGAGGTGCTCAGCAAGATCCGGCACCCGCACTTGCTCCTCCTCCTCGGCGCGTGCCCTGAACGCGGATGCCTAATCTACGAGTACATGCACAACGGCAGCCTTGAAGAACGGCTCTTCGGCCACCAAACGCAGCCGCTACCGTGGTTCGAGCGTTTCCGAATCGCGTGGGAAATTGCGTCGGCTCTATACTTTCTCCACACCACCAAACCAAAACCGATCGTGCATCGGGACCTCAAGCCGGCGAACATCCTCCTCGACCGCAACCTCGTCAGCAAGATCGGAGATGTGGGCCTTTCCAAGATGGTAAACCTCGACCCTTCTCATGCCTCCACGCTCTTCAACAGTACCGGACCGGTCGGTACGTTCTTCTACATCGACCCGGAATACCAAAGAACCGGTTTGGTCTCGCCGGAATCCGACGTCTACGCCTTCGGGATCATACTTCTGCAGCTGGTTACGGCTAAACCGGCCATGGCTCTGGCTCATGCCATGGAGAAGGCCGTGAGAGAGGGGCGGTCGGCCGAGATGGTGGACGCGACGGCTGGAGATTGGCCCGGAGATGAGATGAAGGAGATCATAAAACTAGGGCTGAGATGTACTGAACTGCGACGACGAGACCGGCCCGATCTCGGGGACGAGATTCTTCCGGTTCTTGAACGGATGAAGAACGTTGCTTGCATGGCAAGAACCGCCGTTTCAGAAGCCCTAATCGATCCTCCTCCGGGACATTTCGTATGTCCACTACGCAAGGTACGTACGTGTTCATATACTATACTATTTCATTTCATAAATATACGTGATGATAATTAGGGTTTTATTATTAAAGTTTTAATATAATGGAAATAAAAAGGATATAATGGAGGATCCATGCGTTGCCGCCGACGGGTACACGTACGACCGGAGAGCCATAGAGGAATGGCTTCAAGAGAGCGATAGATCTCCAATGACGGATTTGCCCTTCCCCCACACAAACCTTCTCCCCAATCATTCCCTTCTCTCCGCGATTCAGGAATGGAGGTCCAACCAAAATTAACAGTTTATATTTCTTATTTTTAAATTAATTGAAAATCATCCTCGTTCGTTTCTGTATATATAGCCCAATAAAGTGAAAGTTTCCACCTTTATGTATTTTTTCCCTTGCCATACAAAATTATTGGTTCCATATTGGAATAAAGTCACCATCAAAAAAATAATCCTAAATTTAATTTCGTCGAAATATATTATTATGATTCTAGGGTATAAATCTCGGTATATATCTCTATATATATATAGTTGGAAAGTAAGTTATTAGTGATTGTGCAACATCTAGGCCTTTGGAAGATGTGGACTAACCATTACCATATGTGACTCTATGAAATTCCAAGAAACAGAAATGAAATATTCTTGGTTTTGTTATATGATATGATGCACTTTTAATGAATCAAATCCCAGTTTTGGGATTTTATTTTATTCAGCCGTAAGAATTATTAAACAAAAAAAATCATAAAGTATCTCCTCGCATTTACAATTTCCATGCTGATTTGTTCGTGAGACAAAATTTACAAAAAAAAAAAAAATTCAATAAAGAACAAAATGTAGAAGTCAATTATTAGTTGGTCAAACATTTCTGCAGAGTGCGTGGAAAATTAGCTTTAGACATTTTTATCCAAAAAAGACCAAATGTCACTTAAATGTATGTATGTATGTATGTATGTATGTATGTATGTATGTATGTATGTAATTTTATTTTTAATTTTTTTTTCCTAAATTGATACATTTTATTAGTGATTAAGTCATTTTTTTACAAACGAATGATTAAGTCATTTTATCTTCAAAATTATTAATTATACTGTTTTACTTTTTTCTTAATAATATACACACGACTGCGTGTATATATACATATTTTATTATTCGATCCGACGGTTACATAGTGACATAATTATTAGATATGATATTGATTACCAAAATTAAATAATCCCAACCTGTTGGATTAGGGAAGACAATAGTTGGAACATAGTTACACTAAAAAACATGTTTCAGATCTGTCTCTAATATATCAGTTTCTTCGCCTCTCTCTCTCTCTCTCTCTGTCCAAGCGCGAATAGTTTCACATTTTTCTTTCTTTCACACTCGGATACAAAAAGAAAAGAAAAGAAGAAAGGATTTTGCGTCAAAATTCACAGACTTTCCATTATAATCTTACAATCCTCGGTGTCTAACTCAACACCCAACTTTCCACTTTCCCGGAATCTCTGAGCTACCGGTCTCTCTAACCCAACACCCAGATTCCCTCTTTCTTGGGAAAAAAAATCAGATTTCCGAAAGGAAAAAACAAAAATTTTCATGAAATGATGAAAACCCATCTGCTAAAGCTGATCCTTGGGGTATCTTTACCTGCATTCTCGATGGCAATAGCGGCCGTTGTCATCTTCTTCATCTGCAAGAGAAGAGGGCCTGGAGAGCCCCAAAATGTCGACGTCGAATCGACCCACCAGAAGCAGAAGTTTTCCGACGGTGGGTCCGAACCGGAGGAGCTTGTCACCTTCCATGGCGGCGAAGATCTCACGATCTGTGACATACTCGATGCTCCCGGAGAAGTCATCGGAAAATCCAGCTACGGCACTCTGTACAAGGCGTCGTTTCTGAGAAGTGGCAAAGTTAGGGTTCTTAGGTTCTTGAGACCCGTTTGTGTTCTGAGATCCGATGCGAAGGAATTTAATAGCGTCATTGAGACGCTGGGATCCCTCCGCCACGAAAATCTGGTTCCTTTGTTAGGGTTTTACGCCGGAACGAGAGGGGAGAAGCTGATGGTCCATCCGTTCCTCGGTTTCGGAAATCTGTCTGAGTTCATCAGAAGTAAGTATCTTTTTTTTTCCTTCCTTTGGATTTCTGTTTGGTTTCCGAGAAAAATGACGGAAAATCCGTCACAGATTATAGAAATTAGATTTGTTTCTTTTCTCTTCAACAACAACAAAAAAAACAACGAACTTTCTGCTGTTTCCAATCGAATCGAATCGAAATCCGACTCCCACATTTTTGTCTGTCTTCTTTTTGTTTTTTTGGAACCTCGTGGCTTCTTGATTTCTGGGTTTTCCCGGGAAACAAACAGAACTTTGCAAGATTGTTTTTTTCCCTGGAAAAGTGTGAAGAAGAAAACAAGAACTCTTTTGACGCAGCTGAAAAGAATCATAGTAACTGTAATCTCTCATACTGCATTTTCTCCATAAACATAATAAATGATTATACAAACTGAGTAAAGCTGAGCAAATAGTAAGTAGATTTCGAATACTGAAAATCAATAATGGAATCATATATATATATATATATATATATATTATGCAGAATATGGATATGTGCGTGACAGTGTAAGTGTACATGTGCATACATACATATATGTGTGTGTGAGTGCCGCATAATTGGTTTTTCTTTGGATTACTCAAATAATTGTGTGCCCTTATATATATATATATATATTTGTAAAATAATATTACTACTATTCAATTATACATTAAAATATAAAAAGCTGTCACATTTATATAAATAATATAAAATTACATAGCTGGATTAAAAAATTCATAGTTTTTCTTCCATATTTTACCATTCGATTTTTGTACGTTATTTTAAAATTTATATAAAATCAATATAAAAAATTATATATCTGGAATTTTATTATTTATTTTCTGATCTTGACTTCAGATTGAATCAGAATCATATGGCCTCTTTAATTTTGGATATCTGTCATCTACGATGCATTGTCTTATCGCTTTCCATTTATAATATTTTTATTTTTTCTTTGCAATATTATCGATCTGTATATATCTTTTGTCGGTACCTACCTTTCCACTGCTTCTTGTTCACTTAGCTAATCTGTTCCCATCCCTTGGGAAAAGTAAAACACTTTCCTATCTATGTTTCATATATCTATATATGTGTGTATATATATCTATATCTATATATATCAACTCATTATTTGACCAAGAACGCATGTTCATGGACAGGTGGAGATGTTGAATCACATAAATGGAGCAACATCATGAGTGTGACCATTGGCATAGCCAAAGCTCTTGATCATCTCCACACAGGAATGCAGAAACCCATCGTCCATGGCAACTTGAAATCGAAAAACGTAATCTTGGATCCGAGTTTTCGACCTTACGTATCCGATTTCGGCCTGCATTTGATCTTGACCCTTGCCTCGGGCCAAGAAGTTCTGGAAGCTTCTTCTGCAGAGGGCTATAAGGCTCCTGAGTTGATCAAGATGAAGGACGTGACCATGGAGAGTGACGTGTACAGTTTCGGTGTGATCATGCTTGAACTGGTTTCTGGTAAGGAACCCGTAAAGGAAAACCCGACCGTTGATAATGATGAGTTCTACCTGCCGGATTTCATGAGGAATGCGGTTCTTTATCATAGGTTGTCGGATTTGTACCGTCCCCAGATTCTGGGAAGTGGTCTGAAAGATGTTACTGAAGAACATGTTCTCAAGTACTTTCAACTCGCCATGGCTTGTTGCTCTCCCTCGCCTTCTCTTAGGCCGAGCTTCAAGCAAATGTTGAGGAAACTTAAAGATATCGGGAAATGATACCTGGAAAAGTGTCGCAGCTGAAAAGGGTTTTGCTCTTGAAGCTGTAAAGTAGGTAAAGTAACAGTCTTTAGGGGGTTTTTTTCTGATAGAAGGCTACAGTTACATCTGATTCTTTAGTCGGGTTCTTGCAGAAGAGATGGATGGAGTTCAAGAACAAACTCCACGAGGTTTGGTGGTATTTTCTGGTTACAGATACCAAAACTCTTCAAGAATTTCTCTCTCGTGTCTAAACATCTGAAGAAGAAGAACCGATGGGTTGAATTTGATCTCTTCCTTCTGAAACGTCACTCAGTTCATGTGGCTGCAGCATTACGTGTAAATGGGTTATTCGGAGAAGAACATTGGGAATGAACCGAAAAGTTGCAAGAACAGAAGGAAAACCTGGAAAAGATTCAACAGATGGGTAGCACCCCCAGCAACCGAAAATTGAATTCAGAATCTTAGTGTTCAACTTGAAACCTTCCTTGAATGTCTTGTCCTTGAAGTTGTATCTTACAACCTTATTTAGGTATGTGCGAGAATGATGTACGAGCCCTCGGGCAGTCTCTTTCCGTACAATACAGACGAGATGGAATGCAAAGATACGTCTTGTCAGTGTAAGATTCGGTTCTGAAAATCTCAAGAAAGGCGGCTGAAAGATGTTCTATAGACCATTCTGAACTGTCTCTCTCTATTTGGAATTTTGGAACACCAAGAACTGTGATCGAAGGAATGGTAAAAGGAGAGGGTCACATGTTCTGAGGCAAACGACCTTACACTGAGGTGAGTTGGACCGTTGCAGGACTGCACTATGATCATGTCGCCTGAACTTAAAGTAGATCTTTGTCTGATTTACACACGATTGTGCTCTTTCCCAGAATTCATTTTCCAGTATAAAATCAGGCTCTCATTCTTCACTTCTGGATTTCATTTTCCCCATCAATTCATTTACTGTTCTGTAGATATCACCCTTCAGGATATGGCATTGATCTCCAGAATAGAACTTGTGGATTTTACCTCCAACTGAAATCCAACTAAATCCGGGTTCCTTTCTCATGGCTTGACAGTTCATCGTATTCCTTACAAGCTTTTCGTTTTCTATATTCCCTGCTTCTCTATATGCATTTGCTAAGAGGATAAGAGCAGCTGAACTCTCAGGGTTGCAAGAGAGAACCTTTTGAGCAGCAATCTCGGCCAACTGAATATCTCGATGAACCCTACATGCTCCAAGCAATGTCAACCAGACCTTTTCATCAGGTTCAATCGGCATCTTCGATATGAATTCACATGCTTCAGCTAGATGACCTACACGTCCCAAGAGATCAACCACACAAGCATAATGTTCCATTTCAGGGGTCAATCCATATTTTTCCTCCATTAACTGAAAATACTGAAGGCCTTCCTGCACTAGTCCTCCATGGCTGCAAGCAAACAGAACACATAAAAGTGTAATAGAATTGGGTTTTGGAATCACAAACTCCATTTGTCTAAAGAGTTTTAGGGCATCCTTTGCCATACCATGTTGGGCATATCCCCATATCATGGCAGTCCATGAAATGACATCAGGATCAGAAGAAAATTTGAAAACCTTTTGAGCATCAGATATTCTGCCACATTTGGCATACATGTCAATAAGAGCACTGTCAACCGATTTGTCGCCCGAGTAGCCGGTTTTGTACGAAAGGCTGTGGACTTGCTGACCATATTCAAGAAAGCAGAGGCTAGAACAAGGCACAAGTACACTGGACAATGAGATCTGATTCAGTTGAAAACCGATTTCTCTCATCCGTGAGAATATACTTAATGCCTCCCCCCACTCACAAGACTGAGAATAAGCTGTCACTAGGGTTGTCCAAGAGATAAGGTTTCTATCCTCCAACCTGTCGAATACCTTCCTCATAGATTCAAGTTCCCCACATTTGGCATAGACATCCATTAATGCATTGCAAAGACTGACTTCGATCAAATCTTGGCCACTCTTCAAGATCATCACATGAACCTGCTTGCCTAATTCTAGAGACCTCGTATCAGCAACTGAATTCAGTACACTGCAGTACGTAAATATATCTGGTTCGACGCCTTTCCGACACATTTTCATGAACAGCAAAACAGCTTTCTCACTGTTCCCAGACATTGAATAACCAGATATCATGGCATTCCATGGTAAATTGACTTCACATTCACAGTAATTCGACTCGAAAACAGACCGTGCTCCATCCAAACACCCACATTTTGCAAACATATTGATCAAAGCTGTTCCCACATGAATGTTAGACCGCATATCCATTTCAAAAGCAATAAGCTCGATTTCTCTGCCTTTTCCGATGTCTCCCAACTGTCCAATGGCATTGGAAACACTAATGATAGTAGATATATTCGGCATAATCCCTTCATCCCTCATCTTCAAGAAACTATGGTATGCCTCCAAGAATAGACCGTTTGACACAAATCCAGCTATCATAGCATTCCATGAAATCACATTTGGACTGGCCATGGAGTAAAACACCCTACATGACTCGCTCAACCTCCCCACTTTTGCATACATGTTAAGCAAACACGTACTTACAAATGAAAGAGACGAAAAGCCCCGGATGATAATCTGGGCATGAACCATTTCACCTGAATCAACGCTATCCAAACCGATACATGCCTGTACTGCTGCAGAGAGAGAAAATTCATCGGGAAAGACATCATAATCCAACATCTCAGCAAAATAATCGAAACTATCACGATAAAATCCGTTCTCCGTCGCTCCAACAATCAATACAGTCCACGAGAAAACGTTTTTGTGGGGGATTTCATCGAACAACTGACCAGCGGATGCAAAGTCGGAGCATTTGGAGTAGGCATTAACCAAATGGTTTAACATTACCGTCAGGGTTTTGCCGGTAAATCGAGATTTTAGAACTAACCCGTGAATCGATTTCGCTTTCTCTAAATACCCTTTTTCTGCAGAATCTCGTAGGAGCTCTATCAATGATTTTACTGGATAACAAATCCGGTGGACTTCATCTTTCCCGGTCAAAGAGAGAGATTTCGAAGAAATTGCGACTCCGCTGGGATGCTGGTTAACTTGGGTTGGTAGAAACACGGTTGAGCTTCCTGTCTGGTATAGAAAGATGTCGACATGACTAAAAGCAGAGAGAGCGAGAGATAGAGAGAGCGGGAGAGAGAGAGAGAGAGAGAGAGAGAGAGAGAGAGAGATTCTCACCGATGATGGCAATTCAGGCAACTTAGTGGCGAGAGGGTATGTTACGCCGACAGAGGAGCTCATTGTCGACGCCTTTCGGATCCTGGGAAACAGCGGATTTCGGCGAGATGGGATATTTCCGTGTTGTGCCTGTGTTCTTTTCCCGGGAAAATCCAAGCTCTCACATCGAAACAGAAAATAGCAGAAGCAGTGCTATTTCGTTCCACAGAAACAGCACGGTTTCCTATTTTATTTCTTCCAAATGACAACCAAGCTAACCTTTGCGGGTGTTTTGGGAATTTGAGCGATGATGGGTTTTATCCTCATCACCGTATGGATATGGGACATGTGCCGGCTCGAGGTCGCAGCCATCTTGGTCCAGAAGGAACCCACACGAGCGCTGTGTGGGACCGACGACGTGCCACCGTCTCGCCCTCTGCACCGAAAGCTCTCACCTTTTTACATGTGGACTCCCTTCCTCCCTCTGGTGCGTTCTGCGCAAGTAATCCCCTGGCTTCAACGATCTCAAATGGAACGCCGACGGAAGCTGCCTCCTCCTCAGAGACAAGGAACTTGTTCTGTTGCGCCGCCGTGCCGCCTCTGCCGGCGATTACAGCTCCGACGGCTGAGGATCTGATCAATAAGAGTTTTGATGTTTTCTAGTAACAGTTGCTGTCTTGTCTGTTTGGATCTTTAACTCTGTGACTTTGAATTGTGATTGTTTTAACGATTTTTATGCATAAAAGCCTTTTTGTAGCAATTAAGAAAGAATGAAGAGGTTTATTAGCATGTACTATTCCTTCATGTCAGTATAAAATTGGTGAAATTTGGTATGGTTGGCTGCTTCAATTTCTGAACAATTTCAGTGTGCAACAAGAGTTATAGATAATATTTTCGATCGTTACATTAATTTTCCTGTTTTGTTGGATTTTTGTTTAGAAACAGAGTAAAAGACAAATATGATTGATTCTTGTCTTATCCCTCCTTTATATTTTGGCAGCCAAAATTGATTTCATGTCTCTTCTGAACTATTTCTACATATCAATTTAGTGTCTTTTTACATATTTTCATCGGTTATATTTACTGGGTTTTATAATTTTTTGATTCTTCCATTTTGCCCCCCAAAGTTCCAATTTTTCTTTTTTGACTGATTATTTGTATTATCTGTCTCCATTGAAAGGGCGAAAGAGAAAATCTTTCTGATCGCTTGTGGGAGTATTGAGAATCCATCGAGGGGTTTTAACCCTAATAACTCATTTACACCATCCAGAGAAAAAAAAAATTTCAATTTTAACCCACTTTTCGATTGAAAAAGTCCAAAATACCCTTTTCGTTTTATTTTTATTTTTTGCGACCTTTTTGCGACTAATATATAACTGATATACAACTAAAATAAGACATAATTTTTTTTGCCACCTTTTTGTAACTATATTTAGAATTAATTACGAAGTCGTAATAACAAAGTTGTTTTCGAACAGATAAATATCGTGATTCATTAAGGGTAATTTCGTCTTTTTACGGAAAAAAAAATGTGTTATGTTTTTGGTGGTGTATTTCATATGAAAGATGCGTCGCAGTGTGGGTAGTTTGAGTGATTTTCCCCAATCCTTGGTGTTCTTTCTAGATTATATAAATAACCCATCTCGTTCTTCGTTTCCCACGATTGATTCCTTGGAATTTTTCCATTTTAACTTTGATTTCAATGGAGGCTTCGATTTCGTTTGTGGGTTCAAAACCCAACCTTTCGCCTCATCTTCCTTCCTCTTCGGACACCGTTCTTCGTCGTCGTCGGCGAGATTTCCCGCTTTCTAGTTTGAAATTCGGAAACTTGTCGGTGTTGCCGCGAATTTCAGCCCGGAACTACCCGACCAGAGTTCGATGCTCCGACGGAATGGATGAGACCGACGACGGTTTTGTTATAGAGGACGTTCCTCACTTGACAGATTTTCTCCCTGATTTACCGGTAATTTTATTGCCTCGTGTTTCTGTTTCACCTACTGTCTCGCTTCCTCGCTATATATATGTATATCAGTATATGTTCCTTTGTCTGAATAGGCAAGCGTTTATGTCTAAATCTGCCTTTGAACTGAAATGAAGAGCTAGGAGATGACAAGGATATGGTTTTGCTGGTGAAATAGAATGAAGAGATAGGATGTGATTCATGTTAATCTTGGTCAAGTTTGATGTTATTCAGCCATGGTTCTTTTTCACTTTTCTTGTGGATTGTGGCATTGCTTGTATAGGATCGTTTCATATTCTGGCAAAATTGCAATTCATAGCTTGTTCTAATTCCAGCTGTATCCAAATCCTTTGAAGAAAAGCCAAGCATATGCAATTGTCAAGTAAGCCGATTTGCCATTCTTTTGCATTTTATCAGTTTTCCTTATAGCAAGTAAGGTGATGCTTTCGCGGGTTGTAATGTCTCTCGTATATTCCGTCCCTCTAGGCGAACTTTTGTGAGGCCCGAAGATATGGTTGCCCAAAATGTAAGCCTAAAATTCACGCCCTTTATGTTTCTTGTCGAGCATGGAGCTTCGGTTTCTCAGCCTGTTTGTTCTTCAGATTGTAGTCCAGAAGGGCAGTAAGCGTGGAGTACATTTCCGACGTGCAGGACCTCGAGAAAAAGTATGTGGGCTTCTTGAAAATTTTAGTTTAGGCAGCTGTGAACAATTTTATGACTGACAGTGTTGAAATTTTTGCCGACAGGTTTACTTCACAGCAGAGGAAGTAAGAGCTTGCATTGTGACTTGTGGAGGATTATGTCCTGGAATAAACACAGTCATACGGGAAATCGTATGTGGATTGAACTACATGTATGGAGTCGATGACATTCTTGGCATTGAGGTGTGTCATTAGATAAAATACGGTCATGGTAATTGTATTACCAGTTTTGTCCTATTCTGGTTCGGTTGTGTGGTGAATCAGATTTTGTCACGTCCTTTGTTCGTATTGAAATTCTCAGGGAGGATATAGAGGCTTTTACTCCAAAAACGCCATGAAACTGACACCTAAAGTGGTCAACGATATCCATAAACGTGGTGGCACCTTTCTTCAAACTTCACGAGGAGGGCATGATACAGCAAAGATTGTCGATAACATTCAAGATAGAGGAATAAACCAAGTGCCCATATCTTCTGTTTTCCGGATTCATCATTTATTGATATTATATCAGCATACATATGCTGCAATAGGAAGAAGCAATACTAAGATCTTTGTCAATTGGCACTCAGGTCTACATTATTGGAGGTGATGGGACGCAAAGGGGGGCAGCAAAAATATACGAGGTAATTTTTTATTCCCCTTTTTAGTAATTGTTCGGTGTAGTAAGCGGTTCGTTATCTGTTAGTTGGTTACAGTATTTATCTATACTTTACTTCGTATTCTTTGAAGGAAGTTGAGAAACGCGGTCTTCAAGTGGCGGTTGCTGGTATCCCCAAGACAATTGATAACGACATTGCTGTAAGCTTGCATTGATAATGTTAGTAAAAAAGGCTGTCTTCCTCACATGGAAACTATATACTCTCCTTTAACTTCTTTTTTAGGTTATCGACAAATCATTTGGCTTTGATACTGCTGTTGAGGAAGCACAAAGGGCTATTAATGCTGCACATGTAGAGGTTGAGAGCGTCGAAAATGGAATAGGAATAGTTAAACTCATGGGAAGATATAGTGGTAATGTTCCGTGGTATATGTGATTAAATTGGTCCTTGTTCTGACGTTGTCTTTTCATCTCTTGCTCTGATGTTTGTCGGTAAACATGATTCAAAGTTCGCTTCTGATGCAACTTCTGCAGGTTTCATAGCTATGTTCGCTACTTTGGCAAGCCGTGACGTGGTAATTACCTGCATTTCCGTTGTTCGATATCGTGTCACCATGACTAAAAGTTTTGAATTTATACATTTCATATGTCCACAAAGTATAGTCATGGGGTTTGATATGTGGCAGGATTGTTGCTTGATTCCCGAGTCTCCGTTCTTTCTCGAAGGCAAAGATGGGCTGTTTGAGTTTATCAGCCAACGACTGAAAGAGAACGGGCACATGGTTATTGTGATAGCTGAAGGGGCCGGACAGGATTACGTTGCTCAAAGCATGCGTGCAACTGAAGAGAAAGACGAGTCTGGAAACAGGCTCTTGCTTGATGTTGGTCTATGGTTGACTCAACAGATTAAGGTGTGGTATAAATTGAACAATATATGCGAGAAATGTTTCTTTCTTACAGTATGCTTTTTCTGTTGTTTTGTTTTACAGAACTAAAACCATGTACCTGGATGATTCTCATAACAGGCAACATGTGTTAACTTCGAGCTCTCTTTGTTACGAATTTTCAGGATCATTTTGCAAATGCTCGGAAAATGGCAATAAATATGAAGTACATAGGTATCTTCTGTCATTGTATCTGTCAAGATTTGAACTTTTTATCATGTTGTGTCTTTAGAAATATGTTTCATTTCATTTTGCTTCTTCATGTCAATGCTTCACTACCTTGTTCCTTCTTCTGCAGATCCAACGTATATGATACGAGCTGTACCAAGTAATGCATCAGACAACATCTATTGCACTCTTCTTGCCCAGAGTGCCGTTCACGGGGCAATGGCTGGGTTCACTGGTTTCACAGTAGGACCCGTTAACAGCAGACATGCATATATCCCGATATCGGTAAGCTTCCTCTTTC